TCATTTATTAGAGCCGAAACATACATTATACTATAGATTTTCGTATATTATTCTAGAGAACCGATATTTTTCTTATCCTACATATATGTTTCACTAGCTCTTCCACTGTATAAATAGATATCTTTATAACGAAGTTAAACCAAACTCTTCGTTGGAATTTAAACTTATTTCCCGATCTAACTCCGTGTAACTTTCTTGCGTCATTTGATATTCCCCACACAAGTTAAACTGAGACCGTAACATTTTTCAGATCACACGTTACTTGGCAAATCACGTCTTTGCTGAATGATGTTCGAAGCCAGTCAACCTTTAGCGAGCGTTTATTTCTTGTTAATTTCTACTTAACTATATTACGATATAAACGAACAAAATTTTAAAATACATAGAACTAAATTTTATAAATTACTAACAATTAAGTTCTTGCATAATATTAATTTTCACGATCCTTTATTTGCCTTGATGGTATCAAAAGCGGCAAGTAATTTCCCTCATTAAAGTTTTAAATATGCAGAAGTATTGATTGTCTCCGAGAATAACGCCCATTCGTTGGGAAAACCAGAAACGGGTAGCGTGTAAATGTTCTACAGCTTAAACTTTGATAAAAAAAACCTCGACCCGGGTATTTTAAAGTACACTTTGATTTAAATTTAATTTTCGTTATCTGAATTTCCGAAATTTCGTATTCCTAAACAGTCACAAATTTTGTGGCCGTAAATATAGTCTTTACTTCTAATATACGCTAAAACTATTTTATTTATATGCAAAAATCACGAACCCATCAATTTCATATCAAAGAGCAAAAAAAATTGTTTAAAAACTGTATAACCCAGACATATATGTTTCAGTAGAGGTTAGAGTATGAGTTATCGATTTTAAGTTTCCAATTGCATGTCATTCCAATATTAATACCAGTGAATAATAACCATTACAACATAGCTTCAAACTCGCTAGAATCTATTTTTGTAATCCAACGCTTGCATGATAGCAATATCAGAAACCAAATCATTCCGAATCGAATCACTTCCGATGTTGGCACTAAAGTATTAGTGTTCAATTCCACGCGGGTGACATTTGTTCTTTTCGATTCTTTAAGCTCGTTTCTGTTTAGTAAAACAACACAAGTTTTCTTTTCATTTACCTATGTACATATCAGCGCTATCAATTATTATAAAAATGCATTAGTATTCATGATTATTGTTAAAAGTAAAACGAAATCAAAGATTGTTAAAAAGGAGAATAGAACTATGTTTGAATTTTGGTATAAATATGAAGCCTGGACGCACGACGGTAGAAAGAAATACAGGAACATTAAGAACCATTGAAGTTTCATTTTAAAATACCATGGAACGTACTGAAAGACGTCGGCGATGATGGCATCACTCTTTTTAAAAACAACGAATTTGTATTAAATTCGTTATACATATCTATTTAAAAATTACTACGACAGATAGTAAATATCTAAAGCGTCTTCAATCCTCTTAAACCGTTGAAATAGGTGGTACAATACAAGTGCCCTATAAGTACTTATGTAAAAGATGTATAAAATAATTAGTATTCCTTTTTTATACCTCCAACCACAGTTTTAATTATTATTCCATTTAATAAAATTAACAAACGTTTTAAACATATCAAATTGTTTGAATGCCGTCATTCAAAATCAGGTCGATGGTTTTCAAATTATGCAACCAAACTATTTTAATTTAAAACTATAATCATTCAATTCAAATTTGATGTTCTCTATATATATAACCATGTACAACAAATGAAATCCTAGTACGAAATGGGATCCCGCAACTTATCTTCCCCCCACTCATTCGCTAAGTTTATTATAAGTATGGACTCTGAATTTCCTCTCGCTTTATTAAGATTGTGTTCTCGTACGTGCAAACATTAGTTTCGTGGGTAACGTCGGTTATGACAACAGCTATATTTACTCCGGGTTTTGGATGTAAGGTATAATCACGACTAAAACCAAGTGCGCAAAAACTGAACTCGGTTGGTCCGTCATAATATTATTTTTTGATATGTATGAATAAGAAAAACTGTTTCTATAAAGATAAAAACTATTAATTATCCTTTTTAATAACCACAAAACCGTTTTAATAGCTTCAAACTTGAACGTAGTTCAGATTTTTGGTGTAATTAAATATTCACTTCATTCGATTGTGGTTGCTCCACATAGCTTCATCGTGCCTTGGTAAGCGTACATTGGCGAGTGACAGCATAATCAGCGGTTTGCTTAATTAACCACTTAATTATAATACACCTATTTTATTACAGAGGTACTGTAAAAATATTTTAAGCATGTTGCGTGGTATATGGATTCCTTCATTGTTGGTACTTGAACAATATATGCTTTTAAGTAAGTAATTAAAAGTGTTTTTTTTTTCAGTTATTTTAATTTAAGCTGTTGAGAACCCTCTACAAATGTCTACCAATATCTTTTTTAATTAATTTTATATGACTCCAAAAATATTTATTTTAACAAATCGGATTAAGACTCTAACATATAATATAAATTCTCTTAATATTGGCCGTCGTTACATAACAATATATAAAAGTTCTTAGATATTCAGTAGAAACACGTGCTTGGAAGAATAAAAATTTTCATATATCTATTGATTCGCCGGACATACAAAACCTTTCAACCCCGTTAGGTACCAAGTTGTCGACGACAAAATCGATTCGGATACTCAAGCGCAAATAGACCATATCTAGAACATCTTTAAAGAACTTAAGTCATGCTTAGATTTGAATGTATGAACGCAACAAAGCCACAAAACTCACATTTCAATTAATAGCAATAACATTTCGGTAACTGAAGTATAAGTCTATCTCTAGCGTTATTAATAACATCAGTTCAGAAACTTGATAATACTGTAAGAAACTTTACTTTACTGACCTTATGCAAAATACCTTTTACTAGAGACAGTTCATTTAATTTTGTTTACTAAATGCCAAATATATTTAGTAATTGAGCCAAATTTCTTAACTCTACTCATGATGAGAATATTGAAGACAGTATACTATTTTCCTTTTTAATGGGACCTTGAAATTATTTATAGTAATGCCTCTGTTGTTACTACAATATAAATTAAAATATATCAACTATAGATTGTGCCTACATGCGTTAGTGCCTACTGAATATTGTGTATACCTTTTGCGTACTTTTCAAAGTTACTCGCTGTTCTCATTTCTTTAAGTTTGCCGAGGCCGCCCGGGTAGTTTAGTCGCAAAAATATTTCTGCAACTCTACCTTTTGTAGAATCTAAAGCTTGAATATTATATTGTATAAAATCTTTTGTTCATGGTTCTGCATAAGGTGTTCGCGTTGAAATTACAAACATATATTCTGCGATATATAGGTACGTATGTGATAACGAGTGCATGAAACTAGAACCGTCATATATTGACCTTATATTATATGATATTTAATTTTGTGGCGAGAATGAAACATACCTGTGGTATGCCACGGCGTGACCACTTGTATTAGCCTAAATGCCTAATCATTAAATTGTATGTAATAGGCAAAGTTGCCTTAAATTTCATAATAGCACCCGATAAATAAAACCTAACAAGTTTAATAAACGTTTTCATTGATTTTATGCCCCAGTGTGTCCTCGTTTTATCGAGCCTACATCCACTTAATTTTTGTTGAAAAAAAAAATATAAAGCTTGAAATAATAGGACATTTAGCAATTATAAGTAGTAGCTTAAAATAAATCACCTGTAGACTGGATCCAGAAAAAATGTATTACTTAAGCCATTACTAATTAGTAAAAATATGTTTTTTTTTTAAGTAATCAATCTTAATCGAGTTCTTTAAAAATGAAAATCATAAATCGATTATTTTTTGTCCATTAGGACAAGTGCAGAATAACATTGGCGCCCAACGTGCGGCCAAGGTTATAATGAATTTTGTTAGAGGGGGTGAAGTCAATCTTATTATAAATCGAGGAAAATATTTTACTTACCTTTATTGAGCTAAAAACATCATATTTTCTACTCTATAACGTTCCAAAAATATCGATTCACAACGAATCCAGCATGTCGGCCGCCCTCTAGGGCAGACGGTTCTTCTCTCTATGTACACATAGGACACAACACGTCAAGCGAGATATCAAACGGTTTCCCGCCACTGGTATTTTAAGACTTGTAAGCCTATAAAGCTAAAATAAAGCTTTAAAATATATGCTATTAATTTTATTACCCCACAATTATTTTCAATCTTTTCTTAAGGATATAACCGAAAAACAGTCTTAAAGTTTTATTTTACCGTTACTTATAATGGTTTCTTATGCACCAACCACCCGCGCGCGCTTGACCCGACTGACTGAGTTTCCTACGTTTTCCCCGGCGCAAGCCTTCACCCCTTGTAATCGAGCACGTTCGCAATACGTACATAGACGTATATATTTATAAGGCTGTATGGATATAAGTACGTAACGTTTTAAAATCAAATAAGACTATGAAAAATTATGAGATCCAAGGAAAATATAAATATAATCGATTACTATATCTTTTTTTTAACGTCAATCATAAAATGATGATTAATCTTCAAATATACTAGATTATTCCCTTCAATACTATAAAAAACCTTTAAACAAAATGTAATTTAAGTTAAACTGAATGGCAAAAACGCTATCAATTTATATTAAGTATTTTGGAATTCATTAAATTCAATTTTTTATTAAAATTCTGTGTACAAAATTATAAGACAATTGATGGCAAAGGACTATGTTAATATCTATTAACATAATTAATTTTGAATGGATTGATAAATAGTTTTTGCAATATGTATTATTAAATAAAGTTATTATATTTATTTTTTTCACGATATTAAAATTATAGTCAATAAAATTTTTGAACGCAGACGCTAGAATGTCATGACTTTTGACAATAAACAAAATGTCAAACGTCGTTAGCTGCGTTTGTTTGTGATTTCCTCACGAGTTAGCATATACAAATAAATTGAAAAATATATTTATCACAGTTTTGTAATGGCTCAGAATGAAGATACAGAACTCAGAGATTTAGTGATAGACGCCTTAGAAAAGAATGGATCCCTTGCCAAAATTCGTGCTCTGTTGCGGGCTAACCTTTTTTTGGTTTTTGAAGATGAATGTCATATAAAACAAAATGAGGCCCTAGATAAAATTCTTAACTTACCAGAAGGCAAACTATGCTTTTCTATAATACATGAGTTTTTAGAATTCTGTAATCTTAGAAATACTTTATTTGTTTACAAATCTGAAACGAGACAAGGCAGTGAATACGAATACCAGAATGAAAATATCCTCAGAGAAAAATTATATCTATCAAATTGTGACGAGGTCAAAGAGCCGATTTTACTTTCTCTTATTAAAAGAAACTTGACTTTGGAAGAGAAAAATGAATATCAAATAAATGATAAACACCATAATAGCCAGAACAAAATGAAAACGAAATTTGGAAGTGAAGAAAATTGTACTTATTCTGTTCATGAAGATTCATGTGCTTCTAGTCAATCTAACTCCGATAATTCCTCAGAAAAACTTGATCTCAGATTGCAACTTGAAAATTCTGATACAGACACATCATCGTCATCAAAAGGAAAAAGTTGCTCAGAATACATACCTAATAAAATAACAAAAAAGTCAATAAACATTAACAAAACAAATATAAAAGAGCAAAAGAACAATATAAATGAAACTACAACTCAAAACATAACTTCTTTTAATTTGAATAAAGAAAGCAGTCAAAACTATATTCAGGACATCAAATTAGCTAACAATAGCAGTGATTCCACATCATATGCAGAATTGAAACCCTTTAACTCCAGAGATACTATACTCCTCAATACAACTGGATTACCTTTGAGCTTGGAGAAAGAAGTACACCAGGTTTCCCCTCAACAAAATTCAAATTCAACAAGCTCCAAAATAGAATCACTATCTTTAAACCAAACATTATCTAGCCGATCAGAAAACATAATGAAATCAAAGAGCCAGAATTCCAGTAAAAACAGTATTAAAAAATCACCCCATCATGAAATTGAAAATAATCCTACAGAATACAGCTATGACTTCACTTCACCATTATCAGATCGAAAAGATAGTTCAGGAAGAAATATTAAAAATCAGGAGGTGACGAATAACACTATCAAGACAGATACCCATAGCCCTAAACAAAACTCAATGAGTTCTCAAAGTTCAGTCTCCATATCTGATGTTGCTGATTTAATAAGTGAGAATAACAGTAAAACGTACCATCTGGAAAGAATGTCGGTACAATCCAAAACTTCTAACAGCAACATATTTAACAAGAGTCCGAGAGAGGGTAAGACATTTAGCGATGACTCGGGCGATTTCTCGGAATCTCCTATACCATCACTGTCTAATCTCAGTTTGGACATACATAGTGAATAGCTATAGCTAATATACATTGTTATTAAATATCATTTTCATATTTCTTTACTAATACAATTATAAACTATTCTAGCTGTGTTAATTTCCTTATGAAAAATGATGAGTTAACACATTTTAAAGCATTTGCATTGTAGTTGTAGGCCCTAGGAAGACCATGAAATTTTTTCAACATGCGATGACTAAATGAAAAAGATAAAACTTAAATTTGAATTTGTGGAGTTTTGAAACTAGAATAATTGTGCAAAGAGAGCCTAAATATAGATCAATGGCCTTTACAAAGTCTTGCTTAGAAATAGTTCATATTGGTATATAAGCCTAATTTATTCATATATAGAATATGTTTTTGAACTAAATCTCAATAATGTAATAACTACTTTGGAACATAGATAGCCTCTATGATAAATTATGGTTAATTTTATTTATGCTAATTAGAAAAATAAACTTAAAAAATGTTCTCTCAAATAGCCAATTATTTTTTTAATTTATATATTTAAATTTGTTCCTATGAAAATAACTTTACATAAATAGTTTTGATTAATAAAAAATGTATTTTCACAAATGTCTCTGATATTTATTAAATATATATATGTCTTAGATAAATGTAACTATCTTATTATATTGTATAGTAATAGTTTTTGTGTTGTAATGTAAGATGTCTACTGAAACACAATGTCTTGTCAGTTCTGTGGTTTAAACACATTAATATATCTTTGGTTGTACATTTTCAAAACACATAGTATTAAGAATTTAATATGTTTTGTGTTGCTACTGGTTGTGCCTTAATTGATTTAAGGGAATTCAAATATTGTTCCTCTGAAATTCAGTGAAAGCTAGTCCTAAGTTCTTATTGAGAACACCACAGTTCCGTCCAAATTGCTCCATATTTATTTTTGCTCTTATACAACCTCAGCTGCGCTATGTTGAAGGTTAATTTCATTTTCCAAACTTATAAAATAATCTGCTCTATTTTGAGAGATATAGTCCGTAATATTATTAAAAATTAGTGTAAAATGGAAAGGAAAATATTGTTGTGAAATGACAAGGAGTCATTGTGATGTCCTCGTATCTATATAATTAATTTTAAAATGCTTTGCTTTATATCTATAACCGACATTAAATATTTGTGTCTGATGGATGTTGTTTTTTTTTAATTCCTTCCTCAAGTTTTATATTTTATTTTTAACGAAATTCGATAACATAAGTTTTTGTTTCATTTTGACAGTTCAATGTTAAGGTGGAAAGTAAATAAAACAGATAATAATATAATCAATGTTTATTTCACAATATCTGTAAAGCATAGATTGTAGATATCACGTTTCAGTTATGCACACCAGTAAAAACATACCGAACACAGTAACTTGTCGTTACTAATTTCTATACAAAATCAACGCTGTATAATTTATTGCAAATGGCGGTTAGTGAAGTCACGTAGAAAAAAAATATTAAACAATTTTTATTTACAGATTAATATTTGTATTAGGTACATGAGTTTTAATATGAAAATGGTATAAAAATTACACTTTCATAATATATTACATATAATATCATAGTAATACACATGTTCGTATCCTAACTTTGAAAAAATATAACAATAGTAAAAGCCACAATCCTTCAATATAACATCAAAAGTTCTTTGCTGTTCGAATATTTCAAAAATGGAATACCTCGCTCCAGGCACTAGTAGAATTTTCTCGAAAGATAGATCATCGTATTAAATTTTTTAACAAAAATGTTAAAAAGTCCATATTAAACATTCATATACAGAAAGGCTGATACTCTCGCTTATGATATTTGCTAGAATTCACAAACATGCAGAGCAATTCCTTTCTAATTAAAGTAAGATAATATTATTAATTTTTCAAACAAAAAAAATAATCATGATTATTAAGCACCTAGGACGTAAACTAAAGCATTTCAATTTGATAAATAAATATAAATAATGTACATATGGCAAATATTTGGCTTTGTAAAATAATTAAAATTAATAAATCATAAACGCATCTATGAATATTCACAAAACGATATACCTCCTAGATATTGAAGTGCATGTAAAGCATTTTAATATACATCCAAAATTAAAGGAACTAGAAATTATTCGTGAAAGATGTCACTTAAAGTAATTTATACAAGTTGGCCCAAATGTGTAGAAGTTTGGGCCACACATTAGTTGTCGCAGACAATACGTCATTTATCCTACAAGGAAAAAACATATTATAATGTTTTGTGACCCGGACGTTATATCTTAAAGCTCGTTGCCCATGGAGCTGTCATGTGTTAGATTCGAGTCCATGCTAGCGTTGTCGGAATCCTGACTTTGGTTACCGCTGTAATTAGCTGCTTCCTGTAGCCGCATTAGCATATTCAACTAAAACAAATATTAAATGGTCATAAGCTGTAAACAATTTATTCATTAACAAAATTCGACAATATACATATTATTTATTTACCAGAGGATCTTGATTGTTGGTAGTAGTTACATCTTGATTAGATTCTTCAATGCCTGCGTCTTCCACTGATATCGGTCGTAACGTCTATAACATAAATGAAACGAAAATATTTATTATAAATTTCATGCTATAGATCAATCAATTGATATATGTAATGTTAGAATTGAAACCATTGTACCAATTCAAATGATTTTATATAGAGAAAATACTTAAGTAAAGAATGTTTCTTTATGTATATAATATATAAAGTATTCTAATATGATATAATAGATAAGTTGTTATCATACATGTGAATGGTTTGGTTCTCTCCATGGGTAAGTTGTCTTGACGTGTTGTAGAGGGTCCACAGCTGCGTGTCGTCTTCTTCCGTACAGAGCAACCCCCTCGCGTACAGCCTCCGATGCGTACGGAACTATACTGTAGTTCCATACATCCGCAAACCAAGCCTTTACAGAAAATATGTTGTATTAAATCTCATGCATCTTTTTTATATGCCCCAAAATGTAAAGAGTAAACATAGTGCTCACAGCGCCGTCATATATATTTTGTTTATATTGATAATAATGAAACCATGTCATATTTTTTATCACCTTTCTTGGGAATATTTAGAGCAGATTTTATATTTATATCTAAACACAGTATGGTACAATATATAACTATGAGAACTTAAGTAGGATTTACCTGGCTAGCTTCTAAGTCCATGGGACAAGCAAGGAACAGCCGAGGTCCGACGGTAACATCACTCGAGGAATGCGCTTCCAGAAAGGCGTTAAGAGTTGACCACACTCCGGGCAGCCATTCGAGAACCGCCGCAAGTGCTGGCTCGCGGCGACCCAGTCTTAGTTCCAGGGAAAATAGTTTCCGACGAAGATATCTAGAGATAAAAATATTGGATACAGCTTTTGTGCACATAAAATCTAAATATTTTAAGATAGCATAAGTATTTTAAGCTGCCAAAATTACATGTAGATTAAAATTTAATAAATAAAGGAAGTTACGACAAGATCATGTTTCTAAAAGATACATTTACATTTGTTTATTATTGGATGCTAGATGTGATCAATATTTGCTTTGAATTTCTTACCTTGCTAGGAATCCTTTGACTGGTTCCATGTGGTTGGCGGTAAGAAGCCATCTGAAGTTATGATGTAGCTGAAGATTTGTCGTATTGCATGTTGCTTGTGACATGGTACCTGTATAAAAATATAAAATAAATTAAATTTATAATTTTATTTTCTTAATATATACTTATTATAAAAAAATTATAACTTTTAGAGACCGCTTTAACATTGACTGCCTTATCGTGTCGTTTATTTTCAGAAAGATTAAAAAAACCGTCATTTAACAGACTCAAAATGCCTATAGTATTAAGTATATTTTAAGATTGTAAGTATTAAATCATAAACCAAAATTCCTTTAAGAAAGACATTTAATAACAGCAAGATTTCTGCTGCAAAATTTTACCTTAATATATGTATAACAACCTCAAATTAATATTTTTATGCTTTGTTTATGTTGATGGTCAATGAAAAGAAAAGATTGTTAATACATTAAGCTATTTAGTACACCCCATAATTCATATCCTAAACGTTAGGTAGCATCATTTAATAAGTTACCTATAATGACTGGCATGTTTCTGTTGTCTGGAGGCAAAAGACCAGCAAATGCGTCCCCAAGAGCCGAGGCGTGTTGCAGATTATCGAGCACCACAACGGCAGGAAGCGCCTCTTCCCCGGCCGCAGCTCCGCTACACTGCTCCGCGATGTTCCCAAGGTACGCGCGCAATTCATTGCACGACTTCCGATCCACGCTATTGTTTGTTAAAAGATAGAAGAATAAGTATGCAGTTTTGTTCTGAATATCAATAAAGCTAGAAATATATAATTAGTTGAAATTTATTTATATTGAAGGGTGAACGATGTAACCAAATTTGGAATTTAACGAAATTAGTAAATTATATTATACCATTGTATAATGTATGTTTATGTAAATTGTAAGATATATTTTTAATTCATTCGAAAAATGAGGAGCGAATTGAAACTATCCGATACAGCTAAGTTCCGGTCGAATGGCAACAATACAGTAAAGTGTTATAGACATGATTGCGCTCATTGTTCCTTGTAAAATAAAGAATTAAACATATACATTTTTCTCCAAACCAGAGGATTAAAAAATTGTGTGAATCGGTATGGTAAAAAAATACAGTAATATATAGAAATACCGTTCAAATGTGTCAAGATTTTCTTTGAAATATTTAAATTTTAACCCTCATCATGGGTGAATTGTATTTATATTGTAATATATGTTAAGTTATCAGCAAAAAAACGGGCCTGAAATGATTTACATAATTACCTTCAATAACAACTTACCTAACTAAAAAATGAGTTTGTTATATCATATATTACAGGAAAAAACAAACAGAAAAAGAAATACATACTTGAATGTAGCTACGGCTTCTACTGGATTTCCTCTTCGCTGCGTCCTTTGTACATAAAATTCCGCCAATTTAGCTGCCAAGTATGATTTTCCAGTACCGCTCGGCCCACAAAGAATTACCCTCCGGTGTTCCGACAAAAGCGAAACGTATCTACAAACGAATTAATTAATTAATATTCCGTTTGATCGTTGACCCTTATTAAAAACGTCTGCTGTTTTTACTTGATACATACCTATAAACTATATTTTTTGGTATAAGGCTATCAAAAGCTAAGCTCCCTACTCCTTGCAGACAAATGTATAGAGTATTTACAGTTCCAATGATATAGCCACAAGGCAGTAGTTCAGGGAAACATATCTCCGGACCTCTCGTCGCTTCTCCCAAATGGTAGGACGTTATCGAATCAGTGTTGAGACCAAGATTTGTGCCAGGATCTATCCTCGACAGGTAGTCTTTAAATGTTTTCCTAACTATATAATCTAAATTCTGCCAAGTCGTTTTGCCAGATATATATGTAAACGCAATAGTAAACTCATTGCAATTTATTGTCGAATCACTATTATATACGGTCTTATAGGAATTACTGTGCGTAGATTTATTGCTTTTAAGGCTATTGGTGTTTGATTTGTTTATAGTTTGTTGGTAATCCAGCGTTTCTATTTCGGGACTGTGATTCTGTGACATCCTCGGTGAATCGAAGCTGGGCTGTTTATCGAAATGGTTATTAAAAGCGTTGGCGCTCTGTTTCGCGTAAAATCTACATTCGGATTCAGTTAGCGTGTCTTGCACTTCCTCGAAATATCTTTGGAATGTTTCTGGTTGGCCCAAATAAACAGCTATCGCAATTTTCTTTCCGTCCGTTGTATCGCCTTGACTATCAGCGACACCTGAAATGTGACATATTACAATTAAAACTTCCACCAATTAAATAATACACTTACTAATGTTTTAATAGAAAAAGTAGGAAATATTCACCGATATCTGAGTAACTTTCCCCTATCGCCAGCTCTCGGCTCTTAGGTGGTGGTAAGACGGTATTGATATCATAATCTCCGCTTATCCTTTCTCCGCCGCTTAAACCATTACTAAACATATCACTAGCACCATTAAGCGCTCCAAGTAAGGCTTCACTGTTTTCGTTTAGTTCGCAAACAGCTTTATTACCGTAAATTGGTTCCATCATACTAGATTTGGGTGATCCTTTTTTAGATAGATCACGAGAAGGTGTAGACGTCATACAGTTGAAATCTAAATCTAAAGGTTGCGAATGAATGTCCATAGCCGCCTGTGAAATGAAATATAAATTTAATATGATAAATGATAACCAATTATGAGAAAATTCAATTCGTATTTAAGTTGACTTTTATATGTAGTTATGGTTATTTATTTGTTGATAACTAAATGATTTATTATCAAGAAATAAATCATCTTAGTAATAAAATTACTTAAGTACCTGATGCATGGTGGCCTGGTCAGCCAGACTGAACCGTCTGGGGTCCTCAACCGCGGAGCCGCCTGTACCTAACGAGCTCTGACTGCCGGCCAGCGACCGAGATGTCACTAACCTTTGTAACCGCTCATTGTTTTGTTTCAGATTCAGCATTTCGTTCTGTCATAATGTCACAATCAATAAATAAATAGGCCTATGCTATTTTTGATCTACTTTCATAAGACAATTTTTTTTATTCAAAATATTTTCTGAATGTTAAAGATTACATAAACAGTAAATATAAATAACACAATTTTGAAATCATGTGTTTAAAAAAGAATTCAGGGCATGTAGATTGCATGAACAAAGCTTGACTAACTAACAGTTTGAGCAAACGTAGTGATATATCACAATGGCACAGTTTTAATATTTTTAATATACACATACCCTCATTTTGATTACTGTGTCCTTGAGACTTTCTAGTTGATGCGCTGAGCTGAGTGCTTCCAGTCTTATATCTGTTAACACCAAGTCTTTTTCTCTTAATTGCCGTTTTAGTTCATCCACTAAACCGGCTTGGTCAGCTTTTTCTGCAATTAATATTATATGTAGTAAAATAAATGGGGTACAATTTGTACTTAACTTTCTCTATGAGTTTTATACTTTTAAAATTACTTAGATTTACATATAACCTATTTAAAACAAGTGGTTTATTATATGGTTACACTTAACCTAATTTCTCAGACAAATATAACTGCACCGCAAATAAAGCCGATGCATCGAACATATGGTATTTTGGGATTAGCAATATTAAATTCTCCGAAAGTTTGTTGAACCGGCCTCACCTTTGGTCTGTTCTTCGACGGCTGGAGGGCATGTTGTTTTATCTTTGCTATTGTCAAGAACTTCGTGAGAATGTTCGAGACTATTTTCGTTGCTTCCTTCTCGGATCGTGTGCGGATCATCATAATGGTGTGATCCCGATGAGCTGTCCTGTGACGACAGCTGCCCGAGGGACGAATGCTTTGCTGTTTTCGATATCTTGGCATTTCTCGAAAATGCTTTCGTAAACGACGACCGTAACTATAATAAATTAATATAAAATTAGTAACATTTGAGAAACATCAAATTTATTTAATTTCTTTATCTGTCTCTGTTAAAATCTACTCAAATTATTATGCTTACCCATCCTTTCTTCTTATGTTTCTTGTCGTGAGGAACTGATGAGCCGCTGCTCAAACTATTAATACTGGAGACACTATCTGTAGAGAGGTGGCGGGTAATAGCACCATTTCCTTGAGCCAATCTCTGTGGTGATGATTGTTGAGTTTGATTTTGAGGTGGTTCCTAAAATTATTATCCTGATTATTAAATCCGATAACAAGTTACATGTACATAAGATATTTTGATTAATTTATGTATTTCGTAAAAATAACATAAGATGCTCCATTAAAATAATAATACAGCTAAAACTAGAACAATCTCTTGGAAAAGTTATCTTTTGGTTTGTACTAAAGAACAAAAACAAAATATATGTATGCTAGCTATAATGTATGTTTTGACTTTCACGAACACTCGCAGCCGTTTGGTTTTAAATATAAAAAGAACGCTTGTTACATATGAGAAATAACTGTTACTTCTCACGTCATTAGAACATTGCCTACTTTTTTGTGCATGAAAGTTTTATTATATTGCATGCATTGGATGTGAGTTTATTAAATATGATGTACAATTTTGGTACTTATGTTAGTATTTTTGATCTCATTTTAAATATGTTTAATGATATTACGTAATGATTGATGGTTGACCCACATAACAACGTTAATTTAATCACGAGGCATATTGAGCAGTGCCGCAAATTGTGTGCTCACGTTGTGTACCTAGCCTAATTACAGGTAAACGTGACAAAATAAAACAATACTGATACATTCACTGATGTGTGCCTAGCCTAGTGACAGATAACGGTGACAAAATAAAACACTATACATAATAACACATTCTACGCCCTTCACTCGAATATTTAATTACAAATAAGATATATGAGTAAAAAAATATAAGATACTTGAGTACGTAATTGGAGAAATAAGTTGTTATATATTATATTCAGAAGGCATAAATAGGAATTTTTTCGTATCGCCGTAGGTATTTTACTAATTTATATACATATTTCACCTAGTAGATTAGGAAACAGCGTGACAACCAAATAATTGGTAGATATCGAATAGAATAATTATAATAAACAAGTTAATATTAAAATATATATAACATACCTGGCCGGTCATATTGACACCATCGGCTCGGATGCCCATGGACTGCATATGCGCCGTCGTCAAACCCGCTTGGATTGATTGCTTCCGAAGCAGTTCAATTGTTTGCCGAAGCTCAGTTAGCTCAGAATCCTGGTAACAATATGTTTCTTTGAATATTTTTTATAGTTAAATTCATTTTTTGTTGGAAGTTTAGTGGAAGAGTGAACAGTATGTCTTTATTTGCTGAAGTTATAATAAATCATTTGATAGACTCAGTATTTTATATGGACTTGAAATAAAAATAAATTACGTCGATGAAAATTATGAAAAAACTGTATTGTCGTAGTTATATTAAAAGAAATTTATAAAGAATTTTTTTAATAATCATCGTTGCTACAAAGCTAATAAGCCGCACATTCTGTGATTGAACAGGAATTAACTGTCATACTTTTTATCAAGTATGGAAGGTAGTATCTGGTTGAAATTCGTTTCTTTTTTTCTTAAGGTTTGCTTTCCTTTATCGTCCGATCTTTTTCATACAAATAAAGACCGTTCGTATACCTGACTTAGAAAGGTCTAGTAAATTAACTTGAGATCCAGTTCCAAGGTTGGAGTTATTAACTCGTCGATGATAAAAAAACTTTCACTTGTCATTCCAATAATCATGTAGGAATAACTAGGAATATTTAATTTATTTCAAGTTATTAATAATAAATAGCAGTTGTTGTTTTTATTCATTAAGTTTAACTGAACTAGATAGTCGATATCAGTACCATATAAATATTTGCTGAAACGTTGCTTTTTGACGGACTATAATTTATGCTATACCTATATGAATATCAAATTATATATACATTTATATATCTTATAGTATCTAAGACATGGATCTAATTTGAGAATAATTTTCAATATAAATATAATTTAAAACCTTGCGTTCTGCAGTTGCCGTCAGCTGATGCAGTCTCTGGGTCATATTCGATAAACTTTGTTCAAAGGCGGACACGACATGAGCCTGTAACAAAGACAAAAAATACTGATAAGAAATACTCGTAGGGTCCAACAAAATACCTATTATGGAATATTTGTTGTTTACTCCAACAGCGTATTTACATTAAAGGTACAAAATTGTATTTTTTTAAGACGCAATAGTTTTAGTAAATAATAATATATAGGAGAACAAAAATATATTTAATATTAAATTCTGTATTTTTGCAGTGAGTGAAAATATAATTATACTCTTTTAATATTTAAAATTGTCAATAGTGAATATGTAAACACATTCGAATTAATTTTATTGCATTTTAAATAAGTAATAATATAAAAGATTATCTATAAATTTAAATTGTGCTTTCTTATTTTTAGAGCTCTCTCTTTCTCTCTGTGTTATCCGTAACGTTTTAGTTAAACAAGTAAAATAAAATTAAAAAATAGTATGTCTCTCATAAAACACGACAGTTAATTGATACAATTTTATTTGTATTTACAATTTTATTTTATTTCTAATGTCAAAACATTTTAAAGGTAAATAATTCTAAAAATACTCTACCTTAAAACAACATCACGAAATCGAACTACCTTTTACAATCACGTTCAAAATGTATCTTTGATGTTTATGTTTGTTTAACTGATCAATTCTAATGAGCATTTTAGGAGTGTATGAATGGCGTGTTTACCAATCAATCAAGTTCCGTTTGAAACTCGGTGGCATCTAGTCAGTTACGAAATTAGAGATCACCAGAAAAGGATGAGGGTTTTTTTTGTTCAGTTTGTTCGTTGATGATTTATATTACAACAAACGCATAAGAACCGGTTATGTAGATGCTATGACGGCGTAATTACAAGTAAAATGTAACCATAAACATGAACCCAAAGCCGTCGTTCCGGTTCAATAATATAATGTAACATCACTATTTTAAATATGACTTCATCGAATCAATCTCTGTAATTAGTTAAGGAGGACAAAACACGTGGGCGGATTTAATAAGAAGCAATTGGAATGGTAGCACTACGCTGTCCGAGTGATTTATTTTAGTTTGATTCTCTTAATAGTAGCAGAAAGTATGTATATACATATAACTCTTATATGACTCACAGGAATACTGTTACTTTAATATAGCATGGGTGCAGCTGAACTCAGGGCCCTTTGTTTGCTAGTCGCAGGGGTACTCACCTAAATTAAATGGGGATTAAAGGGGGGTTCGCGATCCCTATCAATATTTTATTAACTTAAAATATCATTCAGAAAATTCACTTTTAATATCCAAAGTCACGACAGGCCATGTATCCAATTAATATCACGCTATTAAGTCATAAACTCCTTACTACACTTAACGAATAAATTGCTTTTGCTTTTAGATACATTTTGATATGAAAATTATTGATCAATTAATATAAACGCAAACATAAGTAAATAAGCAGTATAATCTAATATTGATTTTGATTTACCGTATAAGTTTTACTCCCCGTACCAAAAGTATAAATTTTATCAACAATAAAAATGTCCAATTGACGAGACAAAAATAAAAGGCGTATGCAATAAAACTTTAACTGTTTAAAATAACATTTGCGACTTGCAATGTGGCCATAAATAAGAATCCAACTATTTTCCGAACGGGTCATTTCACCTGCGCATGCGCATGATATTTAACCAATTACTGTGTCTCCATTGATAGATCTCATGCCATGCGCGTGCCGGTTTAATAAAAACTGAACATGCGAAACACCTGTAAGAAAACTATTAACAATACGATATAAGAACAATAAAACGTAGGTGGGCTGTTTATTCCGTAATTATATCCCTTTAAGTTTTGCCGTATGGTCGCCAAGGTGACGAAGTTAACGAAATGTGCAAAACCACTTTAAAATGTGAACATTTACAAAAACTTTAAGTGCTTCATTTAAAATTGAAACAGCCATAAAACTCACATAAATAATTAGCTTTATAGCGGTATTCCAGTAAAATCAGATTATTCATTAACATAGAAATGTTATGGGGTGACAATACAACTCGCAGGTTGCATGACAGGTGAGGTGTAATTACGTTCTTCAACAGCTGTGCCCGCGCTTTATAATAACTCTGTTCACCGATTAGATTCTACTATTTGAAGATACATCGAATAAGCATTAAAAAAAATTATGTATATTTCCTTTCACATTTCTGTCAATTGAATTGTCTGTCAATTAAATAAATGAATAATGGTAAAATTATTTGGAATGCCATTGAAAACCATTTTGGTTTAAGAGTAATGAATGTAGAAATATGACAGTCGATATAATTCCAATGAGTCAACAAGCTACATAATTTAGATAATATACAAGACACGCGGGTCACCTACATAGCACATATCTATTCATATACGCAATATGTTAGGGAAGGGAAAACAAACTGTATAATGTGAGGCAAAACAATTAACTAATACATTAAAGCAAAGTACAATGCCCTCTAATACTCACCTTTATGGACATCACGCTACACGTGTTCTTGGTTACATTGTATAGAGATATGAGGGACCGTATTTTTTAAATAATGAAATAAAATTCTACGGGAGGAGATAGTTTAATACATAAGTATACAAGAGGGGATATTATAAGAAAGACTATTTAGTTGAAACTTTAAAAGAATTGATGGCACTTATGTATTGAAAACTGAACATCCATTACTAAAGATATAAACTGCTATTCATGTTACCTAAAATGTGATTTAGTACATATAATGTATAAAGGACCTTCAATAATAAATAGCGTTACATACGTCCAATGTCGTTTGGAAAAAAATATATAGGCTTGCACATTTCACTAACTTATAATTTTAAAACAAAAACAACTGTAAATCAGAGTTTACTACAGCGATTCCTGTAAGTCTAATATTTTCAATTCGTTTTATTGAACCATCTCGTGGAATTTTCACATAATATTTTTTATAGGATACGAGACTCGCCTGATCTAGTACTGATGTTTAAGGTTAGATAGGACAATAACTGTAATATAAGTGTAATAACGTCATAAAACACGAGCAACTTTAAGCGGATACAGCTTTGTAAGGAATGTGTGCAGCCTTAGAACGGGGAGTATGAATAAGACATCTAATAAAGGAGAGATAAAATTATAGATATGGCACTTAAGTCCCAATTATTCTTTATTATACAAATAAAAAAATAAGCAAGTCAAAACATATAAATCAAAGCATACTATTTAACTTAAAAAAAAATGTTTTGTCGTCTTTCTTATGATGTAATTTGTTTATTAGAATCGCTACCGTAGTAACTGCTACTACAAGTATTAAAAATTAATTACTATTGCAAAAAAATAATTTATTTATTTATAAAAACATTTCCTTAAGTTAAGATATTCGTTGTCTTGGTGTATTTATAAAAAAAATAGCCACTCCCTATCCAACTCTTATACTGTATATCTAAATAATTTATTTAAATACCGTGAGAAAATATATATTTTTTTAAAACCGATGGACTTTTATAATCCGAATCTCAAAAATCACCTGTCCTAAAGCGTAATACAAATCAGGTAGTCCCTTTTTTACACTGTATTTTTTTTAACAAAAGTTCAAAGTATACAGGTTTAAATCATGGTAGATGAAACAGCGATGACAGGCTTAGTGAAAGGAACTATTTAAAACTTTTGATCAATATTTCATGTCAGTGGCAAGGTTTTTAATATTTGAGATTTAAGATTTGTATAAAACGAAGATCACTAAATATTTTTTTAACACGCCTTTCGAAAATATATGATATTAAAGGCTTTTAAAATATATAGGTAATATAAAATAAACATTATGTTACAAAGGAATACTTAAAACCGCTGTCTTTTTGTTTTATATGCCACAAGGTAATATAGCTTGAGAGACAGATGTAGGTGGTTCTTATTGGAGAATCATTTAATTTTTCAACCTGTACTCAAAACTTCAAAGAGTATATTTACAGCTGTCAGAGACTACTTAAGACATCTGAATCAATTATATTTTTTATGGCGCATGTCAATTATCTTCTAATGTCTATTCAAGCTGTATTTAAAACAGGTACTACAGCTGCCAAAGATCTTTTAGCATTTTTAAATATAAATAGTGTGACTATCTTTAATATTGAAGACGTTTATTTTCGTTTCTACCGAAGGCTTAGAGTACAAAATTACATAAAATTATTTTAAGACATACCTCTTCTAAAATAGGACAGCTCTTGTAGCGAGATTTTTTTATCGCCAATTCCCACCAAGGCACAGGCGGTTTCGATCTAAGGATTGTTTGACATCCAACCTTTGGGTCTTGAGATTCATATAATGTCCCTAAAGTTCTTGAAGTTTGCGAAGTATCGCTATCGTCTTCTGCTGGTATTCCGGTTACACATTCACAGCATTTATGAGGTCGTCTAACGACAGTCTGTGGTTTGTAATCTGCACTGAAGGAATGACGATAATTTAATCGTTTCGAGAAACCATTTGATTCGCTAACAGATCTTTTAAAGCCATTTCTATTATACTGTAACGGCATTTTAGGTATTTGTTCAACTCCACTTTGAATATTTTTAGTGTCGCTGAAATCATTATTGTCTCCAGATAAAGGAGTGCTTGGTTCTGAGTGATATCCCAATTTATTTCGATGTAAGCTGCCGCAGAACGGGTTATCGTTTACACCCGGCAGCTTAAGATCTATAAACTTTGGCCGCCTTAAATTTAACGTTGCATACTTTTGAGGTGATTTATGAAATCTTGATTTGCTTGGTAATTCCTTTAATACGTCTTCCGTGTCGGTGGATGGTATCGTAGAATTATCACTGTAACTTGATATCGGTCTGTCGTTATCAGTTACGTATGAGGATGACTCCGAGCAGTTATCCCGGTCGCTATTTCTCTTTCTATAGTCAACGGATGATCCAGTAGTGTTCGTGCGGACGGAATGTTGTTCTGCGGTATCCTGGTTAGCTATATACATTTCATACGGACTCACTTCGCCGTTATTCAAGAAACTAGGAATCATAACTTTTTCTTCGTTCTCTTGATCTGTCTCTTTCGGTAATTCTAGGCTTTTTAATCTTCTACGAGGCTTAGTATCTATAGAATCATAATGACTTTCTTGTCTACTATTTAGGAATTTTGCTGGAGACGTCCTATTTGACGGCGGTGGAGATACTTTGGCATAAATAGATTCAGTAAAACTTATTCTTGAAGGTTTATTTACATATATACTTTGTGACCCATTAGTTGCATATTGCACTCCACAACTGCTCTCTAAGAAATTGTTTTTGGCTGATCTATTTAATGTAAAATATTCGGAATGCCTTTGAGGTAGGTTAGATGTGGTATTTGGTTCAACTAGATTTCTTATCTTTATTCGACTCCTGGGTGCACGAATAGTTGCAAATCCATCATGGATTGGAGATCCATAAAAAGTTGTTGGAGACGTTGTCACTGCCATAATGGCAACTATGTTCTGCCATGCATTATATGACACACCTTTTCACACTACTCTAAAATAGATCATATCATCTTTATTCACTTATATCAATCTATAATGACATTAAAAATAAAATATATTTGGTACATTTGTGATTTATATATTTAAAAAAAACATTGATTATAATAAAAAGCAACTGTATTGGATTAGACTTTTTAAAGTAATGAAGTTAATTATAGAACAGATTATTATCTCGAATGTCTTAAGAGTATACATTCAGTTTGAATTCCGAATAGATCAATAAAGCATCGGCTTGCTTCAATAAGGGCACTTGTAAAAACACATTGCCGTATGACTTTAATAGATTACTTACAATAAATGTATTTATAAGTCGAAGGGATTGCTTCCCTGCAGTAATGCATTCAGAATGCTCTTTAAGACAAGAGAATATTTAATAGTAATAAAATGTTTATTCATAGTAATTATGGGCCATATGTTTACGCTTTTTTAATAAAAAATAAGGATTTTTAAATATAGAATAAATAAAATATATATGTCAATTTTCTCTATAGCATTATGATCGTGTACGATATAAGAGAGTGAGTAAAAAGTTTCTAATTACTTTTATCTTTATACCGAATGTTCATTATCTGTCTTAAGACATGAGAATCAGTTGATCATGTTTAAAAATAACTTTCACAAATATAATCATTTCATAAGAAACTTTTTTACATCGACATATGTAAACAAAGCAAACGAATGTAGTTATAGTAATTATTGTAATTATGTTTACTTTCAATTTAATAGTTTTTTTTATAATCAATCAAAGATAAATTCTTGCTAATGTTCATGTAATCGTTACAGAACTTGCATTTAGATAACTTTAGTCATTGTTATACACAACCTGTTTAAAACCAAGGCCCGCTGTACTATTTATAATATGTATTTCAAGCGGAATATGGGAAGTCTGCATTGCAATAATTGTACTTTATTCAAAACATGGTTGGTCGTGGGGGACTTTATATTTTTTCAATGTTTAATTGTTAATTAGTTTTTTACTCCATCTATAGGTAAAAATATTTAATATCATCAAGGAGTTTCTTTTAATTAAAAGTGTTAGTAAGAAAGTTAGTCAAACGCGACTTGTGTATTGATATTTTTTCCATCAAATATATGATTCATCAGCGATAAATAAAGTCTAAGCTTGGGAATTACGAGCCTTGAATAATTCATTTATGAGACAAACAATACTCGATTCGGTATGCACACAAAGTAAACGCATAATTTCAGAAGGAATTATTTAGCCTTATAAACAATTAACCGCGTAAATGACAAAAGCCTTTTAAGAATTATTCAGTGAAACTAATTTCTTTGTTTACATTTCCAGGCTTTTTCCCATGAGATTTATTAGTATGCAGACAGAATCGGATACAAGAGCTTGCTTGGTTGTTTTTATTTAAATAATAATAATATTATTTTTGAACATTTTTTTGTAATACAAAGAACTTTTATTGACATATTAAATGTGATATTCAATACGATATCATACGGGTTAAGTGATAAATTATATAAGGGTCAACTACAGCTACTCTTGAAGGGGAATGGGTACATTGTAGACCTCGAAGAAATCATGTTTTATATATTTAGAAATATCTAATTCTTCTTTTTTTTACTCTAACGTAATAAACCAATCATAACATATAATATACATTAAATAATCGGATTAAACTCTTGAGATTTTATTTGTACAATACTTATAAAATATTCCTAGTATCGTAAATCATATGATAGATTATATCTATAAAATATAGAACGACCATGTACCTATGATAAAAAATTTAAGTATGTTTGTTTTTCAAATCAAGTTGAACTTGGTTTGAATAGCTACTTCGAATGTTGTCCGTTCTTTCGCAATGTAGAGCACTGCATTAAGGGCTAAGAGTGAGGAAGAAGATTGTTTTTATACCCGTCCCGTTTCTACTAGCGGATGGGGCATGCATCGTTGCTTGATTCAACGACCTGTACCCTGAACCCTCATGTATAAATACATTCAACATTATTTCTTACCGTAAAGGAATACGGAATATTTTGCTGTGCAAGGTAAAACGCTGTTTGAAATAGTGTACGCTTTTTAGTAGTGAGTTATAGTAACAGAGGCTCTCATAAATATAATTTCACGGTCTTTCTCTTATATTCTTAGTTATGTTTTGGTAAACAAACAAAGATTATGATTAAATACAGTGTGTATAGAAAATCAATACATACGCTGTCGTTACAATATTACATTGTTTTTTTGTTAAATATCATTACATTTAAGTTTTTTCTTTGTTCAGTATAATTTATAATTCAACTAGGAATAATAGTTCGCAGCACTTTAATTCCCCGTATAAGGATCTCTATCGCATATAAATGAATAGACAATTGCAAAAGAAATTCTAAGAATGAATTATCCGTTAAGCTGGTCATTACAAAATGTACATCGATAACATTTTTTTATTATGTTATTAATGATCAATTAATATGTATACAGTACATACATTTAGATAAAGTATTTAAATGTTTAAATAACATTAATTACAATGTATTTTATCCTATCTTATAAATTCATAATTTTATTTTATAATTCTTTAACATTTTTAAATATTAATGCAAATAAACAAATTAACGATGTACATGATTTTAGATACAGCAGAGAAAGAATTGAAATATTCTCATTTTTACTAACACCATTGTTTTCTAACTAGAAAAATAATCCTCTAACGATTCATTGTAAAGTGACCATACCCATGACATTATCAGGTCGAGAGTACAACATAGTTCTTATGATTAAATGACACACAGTTTTTTTAAAACACGACGATATCGATTTTGAAAATTATGTCCCAAATATTAAAGAAAGATGTTTGTTATTCTAATAGAGAAGTCCGTATTTAGATAAAGTTTGGAGTTGAATTTTATCGGAGTAAGATTTAAAATACCACAGGTCGGATAGGTCAAGTTGTTAGCGAGATATCTAAAACACAATGAAATATATATAATTTCTCATATCAATTTACTATGATCTCATTATTTTTTGTTCTACATTTTCGGAAGGATAAGCTTATAATCTAATTTATCTTTTTTAATATTGTCCGAACACGCTGTATTCCATTTACTGGATCACAAAAATATAGGCATTGTTTATTTTTTAAATACTTAACGAGAGTAATCTTTTGATACAAATATTCGGATCTATTAATTATATTTTTAAGAAAACAAATTTTAATAGATATTAATTTTATTTACATAACTTAATTGATGACATTCGCATTAAATCCTTTATATTTCAAAACTTCCTATAGAAAGTACGGAAACAAGTTTTGACTATGAAAAAAATTACGTTCCCATGTCTAATGTATTCCAGTTTTGGATTTTATTACTCATACATACGTTAGAGTTTTACATGAATATTTTTTACATGTGAAGTTGCGGCTTATGTTAAAATATGGTAAGGAAGCCGGCCCTATCATCGTACACACGTTATGTATTCAAAGTAAATCTTCCGTAGAATTAATTGCATCAATCAACCGCTTACTCAGAGAAGATAATAATGATCTTAATGCTTATAATGCGACCTTCACACTTGAGGAAAACATGTCAATTATTTAAAGGCAGCGATTTCTATATCATGTTCGTGCTTTAAATAAGATAATACTATTAACTATGAGCGGAACTACGCCTGCTTCAACATAATAAAAATATAGTTATAATACACTTATATTGAGGGAGTAAAGTAGAGCGATCTCGTAGGTTCAAGGAGCCCATCTGCGCTGCACATGGCCGTAGACATACGATCATATACTGCGTCACAGTTGATTTTTTCTTTTAATTTTTATAAAGCGGTCAAGGAGCTTAGGTTACCGAAAATAACGGGTTTTCAGTTAATATTAGGCTTTTATGACATTTAATTTACCTTTACATTTTCAATTAATAACTGACTCACTATGATAGTCAGTGGTGGCCTAGTGATTAAAGGGTCCGCCTCTCGTTGCCGAGGGCGCGGGTTCAAACCTGGCAAGTACCAATGTGATTTTTCGGAGTCATATGTACTTTCTGAGATTATTTAGACACTACTGACCTACGGTGAAGGAAAGCATCGTGAGGGAACCTGGACTTATAGTTTCACAATTATAAGTTTGAAATCACCAACCCGTCTTGAGCAAGCGTGGTGATTAATGCTCAAACCTTCTCCATGTGAGAAAGAGGCCTTTCCTCAGCATTGGGCGCTGATAGGCTGATGACGATGACGCAACTTAAGTTAACTCAGTACGTCTTTTTTATAATAATAAAGTCATCCATAATAATAACATGTACATTTGGTATTCATCGTACCAATTTGCGTTGTAACTTATTTAAAAGTAAAATACTACAATATATTGTTTCCTATTAACATAAACGTTGAATACATGACGCTTGAGAAGTTCGTACTACGTCTTCGTTTAAAATTTGACCGGAATCGCTGTAAATGTAATATGTACTGACATACCAGATGTGTGTTGCGAATTGTGATGATGCAATGACAAGGTAGACGTTATTAATCTTAATATTACAAATTTAAACGGGGTCGAAAGATACACGATTAACGATTTTAACGCATGTGAGAATATCATGAATATGTCAGTATTAAAAGCAAATGTACTAAATATTAATTTTATGGGTCATATGGTAAGTCAGTGAAACGGAAACCATTGAAACGAGACTGTACAAATATAGATCTAGACAACGGTAACAAAGAGTAAATATCGTGTGGGATGGGCATTGTCTTCCTCATACTGAGGCAATAAGTCTCAGGTTCATATCCGTAACCTATGACATCCATTGAGGTCTATTGTTATGATAATCACGAACTACTACTAATCTTAAAATTAAAATTTGCATCATTCAAAGCATTTCAATCACATTTATTTTGACTTTAGCTCTCACAGCTAGACTAACATGTATATAAATGTCATGTTAAAATTATGACCACAACAATATTAAAA